CAGGAATATTATGCTCTCTCAAAAACTTTAGCTGAGAAGACTACATGGAAATTCGCTGAAGAAAATGGCATAGACGTAGTTACATTACACCCAGGCTATGTGATCGGTCCACTATTGCAGCCAACTCTCAATTTTAGTTCTGAGGCTCTATTGGATCTTATTAAAGAAGGTAATTCGCATTCTGCCATACACAACATTCATCTCAAGTTGATACTAATATGAAAAAAAAACATAAAAAAGAAACATTTGTATGAAGTCCATGATGGAAAAATATTTCAAAAAAGTCATCACACAATATTCAATATACTTCAAAAGAAAAGGGATTAGAAAGCTTAAATATAGAGCAAATTTTGCATGCATGTCTAGTAAGTCGATACTCTTTTTAACGTTATGTGCAGGAAAACCACTATGGCCTAATGGAGTGTACAGATATGTGGACGTCAGGGATGTTGCTCTTGCCCATGTTTTGGCATTTGAGAATTCATCTGCCCAGGGCCGTTACCTTTTGGTGGGTAGCGTGACTTATTCGTTTGAAGCGATCGACATACTAAATAGAATTTTTCCGACTCTCAGCTGTCCTCCAACGTAAGATTTTATATTGTTAGGTTTAGCTCTTCTATTGCCTGTTACTTATTGCACGAAAAATACGCTTTCATTTCAAGTAATTTGGAAAAACGAGTCCAACCTTTAAGAGTTGGGGATAATACAGAAACTATCTGGGTTTCTCGAGTTTGACTCTCCCATGATTAGGGGCATAATTTATTATTTTCGTGAATGTAAGTAACTTCTGGAATGACTTATTGTTGATTATGAAGTTGTAGTTTGAAACTATCTTTCTTCCTTCTTTCTACAGATTTTTATTTTTTATTTTTTATTTTTTATTTTTATTTTTTGTGTGGTAATACCCAAAACCTGTGGATGTGGTTCTTTTATACTTGATAGAGGTTTGCCAAATAGATGTCTACATGTACATTGTGGTCACAAATCCTTGACTAGCTGTTGCTCCATAACTAAAGTTATAATCTTAATATACATTGTTATATTGCAGTAGAACAGAGAATCGACCTGCCAAGCCCCCTTACCGAGTGTCCCAAGAGAAAGCGAAAAGTTTGGGTCTCGATTTCATGCCTCTTGAGGTGAGCCTCAAGGACACAGTTGAAAGCTTGAAGCAAAAGAACTTTCTCTCCTAAATTCATCATGGTTATTGATATTGTGATGCTATTTGATTACTAGTTGTGTTCATGGCTGTAGGTGTATGTATTCATACTTGATCTATTCAGCCAAATGTCAGTCTGAGTTTAATGTAATATTATTTTATGTTAAGCTGTGTAATGGAACCAAATGATTGGAGCTAAGTGTGTGTAATCTGAAATATTTAGTACCTAAAGCTAAGTATGTACATCATTTTTACAAAGTACTCTTCATTTGATCAAAGCTACGAGCACCACAATTACCACGAAAAAATTCTTAGCTCCAATGAATCTAATTGAGTATATACCAAACCTTAGACTTTAATGGCATTATTGGTATATTGGAATAGATTGAAGTAATAGAATGAGTTGAAGAATGGAATGAATATGAGAAAAGAATGAAACAAGTTTTTTAATTAACGTGTTTCGTATACAGAAGGAATAAGACCTGAGTGGAATGACATTATCATATTATATTATCATTTATTACTTAATAAAGTAATATTTATATTAATGTGATTTTTTTATTTAGGATAATAGTAAAATTATTTTATTACTTAAAAACATACACTAAAATGTATTTTTATATTGTTATACTCATATATATTATATAATAAATTAGTAAATTGTGTATTCATATACATATTAACTAATACAAATATATCATTACATAAACCCATATAAACATATGTGGTCGAAAATAATTCTATATTATAGTTTAATTCTGAATAAATACAAAACATATATATGTATGAAAATAAATAATATCTTTTTATTTATAAATACATTTTTTAGCTTTATTTTTATATAAGTATTATATATCTAATTAATATATCGACAATAAATAAAAAAGAAAGTTTTTTATATTTTTTATTTGAAATTTATTTTTTTTTAAAATAATATAATTTAGTCATGATTTATAGTATATCAATCATGGGATAAAGAATGTGTAAGTGAATGATCATTCCATTCTTATGTCATTCCTTCATATCAATCATTCCTAAGAGATTTCATTGTCATTCTCCAAGTATACGAAAGAGCGAACGCACTGAGAGGGAGAGAGGTGCATGCGCTATGTTGTGTAAATAATAAAATGTACTAGTACAATACTCATGTATTACACAAGTGTTGAATTAAAAAGTATATGTGAAAAAAAAATATTAAAGCTTTTACTTAAAAAATCTTTAAAACTAAAATAATTTAATTTTATACACAAAATTACTTTTGATTTTAATTTAATTGTTAAAGTATATATTTTTAATCATAATAGTTAAACATCCGTGTATAAAATGAAAATGCCAACTCATATTAATTTTTTTTACTTATATCATATAAAAATATCAATATTATTTACTATTACGTGAGTTCAAAAATACATATCTTCAATAAATAGGAATAATTTGGTGATATGCATATGCATAAGTTTAGAATATATTCTGTTGAATATTAAGTAAAATAAATTAATTTTTTATTTAATTAGATGCCTAATAAATCAAGTGTTGCATTAGTCGTGCTTCACAGTTTTCTATCTTTATATGTAGTTTTAGAATTTAGATAACTATTTATTTATTTTTACTAGATTGACAACATACCAATTAGATTTGAAAAAATATAATTTTTAAAAGAATAATATCATATTATTTCATTTTTGAAATGATTCAAATATGAATATTGGAAAGAAATATTGAGAAATATATTAATATGATTGATTTAGTGAAGAGATGTAACATAAAAAAAATGAAACGGAAAAAGAAAGTATTAAGGTAACTGTAGAAGAAAAAAAGTATGGAATTAATGAAATAAATATTGATTGTTTCAATAAATAAAAATATTTAATATATTATGGACATAATCATGTTTAATTTACAATTCACATGACACTCAAGCCTAATTATGTATCAATCTAAAGCATAGAATCTCGAAGTGCTCGAGCATGTCACATAGGCTCAGCACATCAAAATTATATATAGGGGGTTTGAACTTTATGAAGTATAACTATTATTTTGTCTATCGTTTCGATTAAAAAAAAAAAAAAAAAAAAA